TGAGTCTTTCATTATCCAGTAATACAGTTGCTCGTGTTGTGGCGACCCCCAACCATAAAATTATTTTCGTTGCTACGTCATAACTATAATTTTTTTTCTTTTTTATTTATTTATTTGTTCTAAAAATTTATTAGGGGCTCATACAACTCTTATCACAATCCATACACACATCAATTGTGTAAAGCGCATTTGTGCATTCATTGCCCTCATCATTCTCAAAGCATTTGCTCTCCACTTAAGCCCCCGGCATCAGGTCCTCATTTTTCCCCTTCTTCCCCGCTCCCCCCTCCCTCATGAGCCCTTGATAATTTATAAATTATTATTTTGTCATAGCTTGCCCTGTCCGACGTCTCCCTTCATCCACTTTTTGGTTGTCCGTCCCCCTGGGAGGAGGTCACATATAGTTCCTTGTAATCGGTTCCCTCTTTCCTACCCACTCTCCCTCTACCCTCCCTGTTTCGCCACTCACACCACTGGTCCTGTAGGGCTCATCCGCCCTGGATTCCCTGTATTTTCAGTTCCTATCTGTGCCAGTGTACATCCTCTGGTCTAGCCAGACTTGCAAGGTAGAATTTGTATCAGGATAGTGGGAGCAAGGAGGAAACATTTAGGAACTAGAGGAAAGTTGTATATTTTATCGTTGCTACATCACACCGTGACTGGCTTGTCTACTCCCTGAGACCCCCCTGCAAGGGGATCTCCAGTGCATAACTGTAAATTTGCTACTTTTAGGGATCAGGCGACCCCTGTGAAAGGGTCATTCGACCCCCAAAGGGGTCATGACCCACAGGTTGAGAACCGCTGCCTTAGATGCAACCTGCTTCTAAGGTCAAATGTGATTTCAACATTTTATCCATTATTAGAAAGCAAGCAAGACCAATTCTACAGGAATTGGCACAATGGGGGGGCAGGGGTAGGGGCACCTCCCTTGCACCAGTACAGATTAAAAACCAGCATCTGAAATAATGACGCAGGATGAAAGCAAGAATGGGAACAGCATCTCATCTTTCTGAACCACAAGGGGCAGTCCCATCTGTTACTGATTTGCTCTTCCTATCACCACTGTAAGATAGCTATTTATCACTTCCATTTCACAGATGAAGAAACCAAGGCTCCTTGACGTTCCCTGACCCCACTGTTGTCAGCTGTTCTGTGAACTCACCAGGCTGCCCAACCCGGGTCAAGTGTCACTGGCTGCTCCCTACTGAGCTACGGTCTGTGATCGCAGTGCTTTGTGAAACTGTGCACCCCCTCGTAGCCTTCCTTAGTGTTTGAGGCATTTTGGTGGCTTCCCAACACTACTTTCCTCACCTTCCAACCAGGGAGAATTATGAAACTTCTCAAGAATCTACCTGCCTGGTCTTTCCCATACTAATACCACAGTGGGTTATTCCGAGACTGGCAGGATCATCTGACATGGCACAATGCCTCTGCTGGGCTTACCCTGTCTCCTCTCTGGGCTATTTTAGTTCGACTATATCGTTGTGAGGCCATCAGCCCTTTGGTCTGAATGCTGTGAATCCCTACCTGGCCTTTCCACAGTGGAACCTGGATGGTACTCTCTCCATCTTCTTTCTAAGCCTCTTCCCCTCATTGCTGGCACTGGCTGTTTTCCATGAAGACGGCAATGAATAGATACAATGTTGAACTGTTCCAAGGAAATGGGCCCAGAGTTGTGTGGGCCAGAGGGATGGCTCAAAGACGTTGGAGAACTGAAAATGATTGTTCCTTTTAACATTTTTTTTATATTTGTAAAAAATGCAGTAGAACCAGAGAGAGAGAGAAAGAGAGAGAAGATGCCAAGAGATTTGAACTATCTAATACACAAAACTCTTACAAACCCTGAGGAGGGAAACAACCTCTAAAAGAAAATAAACAAAAATATAAACAGAGAGGAAACTCAAAAGTCAAAAGACATATAAGAGATGCTGAAAAATATCAGAGAAATGTCCATTAAAATGGCAATATTCAATCCCTTTACATTTATCAAACCATAAAAATTTGAATGCTTGGAAGGCCAAGAGCTGGAGAGGCTATGGGATGACTGGAGTCCTCAGGCCTACCTGGAACGGAGGACATAGTAACTATGAAGAACACTGTGACCTAGTTATGCAAATTAAGAATTCATTGTATGACCCCTGCAGTTCCACTTCTGGGATATAGTCTGTTGTTGCAGTCACATAAGGGATTGTGCATAAAATATTCACTGCAGTGTTATTTATAGTGTCAGGGACTTGGAGGCAACCTGGCTGTCCACCACTGGGAAAGTAGATAGCTAAAAGTGATAGCTCGTACACTAGGAAGCACACGGCAGCCAATAGGAAGCAATAGATTCGATACATACCCAGCAATCTAATTCATTTTATCATAATGTCAGTGAAAACAAGAAGGAAAAATTAAGATTTAAACATAAACAACTTCCACAAATTAAACACACTTTCACATAAAAGTGCACAATTTTTGACACATACAAACAAAAAGATGTACATTAAATTGAACTGCCCATGTGAGGATGGAAAGGGGAATAAAAAGGGGGGAAATGGGAGCAGAGTTGGAAATGAAAGAGGGAAAAACTAAACAAAGTTTTAAAGTGCCATTGTCACTGGCTGGACATGAATGATTGAGATCTGTCCCTAAATGTGTCATTAATTTGAATGCTGTCGGTACATCAGAACCAGTGCACACCGGTAGGATTTAGCCTTACTGTAGTGCAGATACTGCAGATGGAAGATGTGGCAATCTGCTTCTATAAAGTAAAGTTCATTAGCTGGAATCAAATTTAGGGCAATGGATTTTCTGGGTTAGGGCAAGAAAAGGTTGCAAGCATTTTCAACGATGTAAGAGTTACATGCAGCAAGTGAAGATGATTGTGATGAGGAATTTGTCACTTAATCATTTCAAAGTGAGGGCCAAACTTACATAATATTAAAGGGCAAGTATGAGTTGCCCATAAGGTGTTGGAACCCCATGTCTTGCTGTGTTGAGGAGGTGATTAACTAAATCTCCTACATCCAAGGTTATGTCAACCCATCAACAAACAAACCTAGAGGGAAATGCAGTAAATATTGCATGATTGTCTCTGCATATTGGCATTCGGAGCCATTTTTCTCTTCTTCTTTATACTCACATACTTGAATGCAAATTGTTTTCATTAGCACATGTTATATTTGAAAATTAAAAATATAATCAGAATTTTAAAACTTCTTCAGGAGATGCATAGTTCAGGGGAAGAATGGGAGATCGTTTTCAGAGGACAAATTTTGGAAAAAAATAAAAAATGTAAAAGTCTGTGTGCAGACTTAGTGAAATTCCATATATACACATATATGTTTTTAATTACTTTAATTTCTGGTATAATATTTGCCTCATAACTCATTGCCATTGAGTTATGGGGACTGGTAACCATGAGCCTATAGGGCAGGTTGAGCTGCGCCCATGGGTTTCTGAAACTGTAATTTTTTACAGCAGTAGAAAGCCTCATCTTTCTCCTGAGGAGTGGCAGGTGGTTTTGAACTGCTGACCTAGTGTGTAACCACTACTCCACCAGGGCGCCTTAATGTTTGCATAGTGAATTAAAACAAAAGGCAAATGAAAACTTATTCAAAGCAAAAAAAATTAGCCTTAATATATATATCACGTGGGTCCTCATACTGCTTAATTCTCCCCCTGAAATTTTGCATGATCATCAGTATCTTTATTTGATGATATTAAAAATTGTAATAACTGGTAGAGTACAAGCCTGACCAATCAAAGCAGATATTGGTAGTGATCAATGCTCAGATCATGTTTGGTAAAGCAGAGGGGCAGCAAAGAAGAGGAAGGCCCTCAAGTAGATGGACCGACACCGTGGCTGCAACAATGGGCTCAGGCACAGGAACAATTGTGAGGACGGCGCAGGAAAGGGCAGTGTTTTGTTCTGTTGTACATGAGGTTCCTATGAGTCAGAAAACCAAGTTCACAGCACCTAGCAAAAACAACATAATAGCTAAGGAGCTCGGGTGATGCTGCAAATTGCAAGGTCACCAGTTCAAAACCATCTTTTGCTCTGTGCAAGAAATTTGAGTCTGTCTGCTCCGATAAATATTTATAGTCTCAGAAACCCAACCTAGGGTCGCAACGAATTGGAATCTGATTAGAAAGACTGGATTTGGTTGGTCTGGGGTTCTATAGTGACTGCTGCTGCTGTTGTTGCTGTTGTTGTTGTCAGGTGCCCCCTTGGGTTTCCAAGACTGTAATTCTTCATTGGAGCAGAAAGCCTCATCTTTCTCCCTCAGTTGGTGGGTTAAAAATGCTGACCTGGTGATTAGTAGTAACTCCACACATAACCCATATCAGGTCTCCTTGACCAGAAAGATAAATAGAAGACCAGTGAACTTACAAAAGGGTGACAATTATTGGAAAATTACATAGGGCGCTAAACAGCAGAACACAAAAGGATTTTCACAAACTATGTTCTTTTTTTTTACAGTACTTCTATGTTAAGGCAAAGACTGATTTTGTATTAAATTCTTATTTCCACAAGACTGAAACATGGGCCACGAGTGCAGCTGCCAGCACTACTCAGTAAATTCTAAGTGATATGGAAATTTAAATAAAACCAGACCCCTGGGTGTTAAGGGATACATGGAAGGTAAGGAGCAAGTTTATATAAGTGTTTATTTAGCAAAGAGTTTATATACAACGTGATGATAGGAGTCATAGCTACCATTGGTTGACTGTATATATTGGGTATTTTACATACATTAGCTTGATTAATCGCCGTGAATAAGAATCATCACTCCCTTTTCACTAAAGAAATAGAAGCCCCACAAAATGATGCAACTTCTCTCAGGTTGAACAGAGCAAAAGAGGTGGGGTAGAACTAGAAATTCCAAGCTCATTAAAATATCAAGTAATTTTGCTCCACTAGATTTTGCCAACTCCACAAATATTTCTCTTTTTAAGCAATATTATTTGCCTCTGAGTGTAAACCACCCCCATCCCGACCCCGCCCACTACCCTTACAGTTCATCCTTCTGGTCAACATGAACTTCATTTTTAACCCGAAATGCTCTCTCAGCATCATCTTCCTTCGTCTGCCTGCCATTTCCCGGCTCTTCTGCACCGTCCTCTTCACTTCCCCCCTCAATGCCCCAGATGTCCTCCTCCTCCTCCTCCTCCTCTTCCTTTTTTTTATGAGCCTCTTCTTCCTGTTTTCTTTTTTCCATTTCTTCAAACAGTTCTCTCCATTGCTTCTCTATGTCCTGTTTAGAAAATGAAGTTATAAAATAATTTACAGATGTTATAAACAAAGTCAGCTCCTTTTAGAAATAGCTGGCATCATCCTACATACACTCTTAAATATTTCTGGGACGATGCTTTTTTATATACGCATTTAAATGTGGGTGGGGTTGAAAGGACTGTGTGTTCATAAATAAAATTGGTTCAGACTCAACAAACATTTATTAAATAGTGACTGCATTGCTAAGCACAGTGCTAGACATTCTATACACATTATTTTTATTCTTCACGGCAATATGAGCAAGTGTTACTAGTCCTGTTTTGGAGATGAGAGATCTGAGGCTTAGCCTGATGAAATGATTTGCCCAAGCAATATAACTAGTGAATGGTGGAGCTGGGATTAGAAACCAGATTTTCTGGCTCTGAGTTTGGCCTTCTTTCTGCAAAATCACAGCAATCAATCTTTGTGGCGCTCTTTGAATTTACCTTTCCACTGTGACCATTATATTAATCAGAAGCAGGAGTCCTCTGTGTTCTCTAATGTGTTCATCCGATCTCAGAGCCAGTCATCGATTTTTCTATTCAAAAGTGTCCAAAAGACACAGGGAAGGGATGAGTCAACCAGGGCACAGGAAAGCACAATGGAACACACACTATTCTTCTGGTTCCTTGAAGCTTCCTCACACCCCACCCCACCCCACTATCATGATCCCAGTGCTACTTCTCACTCTGGACTAGACCAGAGCGTGTACACAGGTATAGATAAGAGATAAAAGCTCACAACACATGGAATCCAGGAACAGGAATGAGAATAGCAATACCAGAAGGGGAAGGAGGAGGAAGCTATCGCAATGATCAACACATAACCTTATACACATACCCCTCCAGGGGGCAGAACACACTCTTCCTCCCATGGGGGAAGGAAGACATTGGTTGGTGTGACATATGAAAATAATAATTTATAATCTATCAAGGGGCCACAAAGGGTGAGGGAGGAACTTATACCAAGGGCTCCATAGAAAGTAAATTTTAGAAAAGAATGATGGCAACATATGTACAAATATGCCTGATGCAATCAATGTATGGATTTTAATAAAGAGTTGTAGGAGCCTCCAATAAAATGATCTTTTAATAAATAAATAAAAGCGTGTATCGAAGTAAAAAAAAAGGTGTCCAAAACAAAGGACAAACTCCTTTAGGGCCTCAGTATGCACCTACAACATCTGGGCTAAGTAGTAGCTTTACCCAGTCTTTTTGGACAAAGCAAAGGAGCCCCGGTGATGCCATCAAGTGAGTGTTGGACTGTTAACCACAAGGTCGGTGGTTCAAATCCACAAGGCACTCTGGGACAGAAAGATGAG